TTTTAATCCATTTTTTTAATTTAATTTCTTTTCAGTGTAACAAAATTCATTGTTTAAGCACCACACCCAGTGCTCCATGCAATACGTGCCCTCCGTAATACCCACCACCAGGCTCCCCCAACCTCCCACCTCCCGCCCCTTCAAAACCCTTAGATTGTTTTTCAGAGTCAGAAATTGGAGGGGGAGTTGAACCATGAGAGACTATGGGCTCTGACACTGATGTCTTAACGGCCAGGCTTCCATTTCTTTGTCTCTATCTCACCCATGGATGCTACCCCTATTCTCAACTCTGAAACCTCCTCCAAAGCCCTGTCTTGCATTTCCCACATACCTTCCCATTCTCTTCATTTCTTTTCTGCTGTTCACACTTGGCCCCCTTCAACCAGAATCAATCAATCCACTTTCAGTTTTTACTCAGCAAGTGAGAGCCTAGGATCGAATCTTTCAAACACAAAATTCTCCGAAGGAGAGGGAGAAGCCGTGATGTATCCTTTATTGCTATTTTGTCATGTCTCGTAGGAAACCATGTGGTTAATACCATCAGCACTGATGCCAATTTTAATATTAAATCTTGGGTGTTCTGTAATCCTGTCCTTTTTCCTTTACACTCCTTTCCTGTGGTTAAAGTTGCTAGAAATAATAACTGCACACTTATCTATACACTTTATTCCATCTATAGAGGTGCTGTTCTATAATCATGTAGCTCTCTATTTCTAGAAAACATCTTCCTTAGGCAGCCTAACTTCATATTTCTAGACAGGAAAATACTAAAAGGGTCACTTAGCAAAGAATTGGCACCAATGCCATATTAACTGTCATAAATGCCATGAGTACTCTTCTTTCCAGGAAAAAAAAAATATATATATATGTATATATATATCTATTTTAGAACCTCTGTTCTAGACCATACCTGATACGTAAAGTTCTTGGTCAGCCAGCATTGTAACTTTCATATGGAGGGAGGTCTTTTGCATTTGCAAGGACTGAAAGAGGAGGGTGCCAATGCGGAGTAGAAGAAAAATATTGCTTAATAGAGCCAAGAGCAATTCTCTTGATCTTACTCCGTGGCATTTTCCATGTTTACCTATAAAATGGATGGAACATGGATTTCTTTGTGTGTCTCTGGGAATCCTCTCAGATGAGAGTAGGTAGAAGATAGAACAGGCATCTGGACCACCACCATCACGATGTTCTTTTGAGAAGCTTCTGGGAGAGCAAGTGGCATTTTCCTAGGGAGGGAGCAGCAAGGCTCTTTGCTTTTCTAAAGCTGCCTCAATTTTGTGCACGTGGGCTTAACGGTGCTTGTGATTTCGCTACTACCGGCAGATCAGGCCTTGCCCTTTGACGAAGTAAGCAAAGTAATTGTTCAAAAGCAGAATGACAGTAAGTACACAGAAACACCCAGCCTTCTGTACCACTGAAAAGATGAAAGGAGATGTTTGTAAGGAGTCAGAATGTTCTGCAGATGTACTTCTTATAAATGGTAATAATAACTTGGTTGGGAGAAAGATGTCCTGAACCTTAGATCTCCACGTCACCCCTACTTGTCATCATTGTGATCATATTTCATGGTCTTGGATTTATATGTGTTCCCAACAACTTTTTATTGTATTCCTTAATTTTTCTGACACAGATCCTTTAAATTTAGAAAGACACATTTCTCAGTTGGTGAAATACGTTACCGTAAGGTAGCTGCACTTAATACTGCTCAGATTAGTTAACAGAAGTCAACGAGAATGTTTGTTTTATCTACTTACATGGTCTAAGGATAGGAAATCAGTACCAGTTAGAAGATCAGCAAACAGAAAACACGACAAAATCTTCACTTTTATGAATGATCTTGAAAATAAGAATTGAGATAACACTTGTGTCACGTGCATTTATTCCTAGATCAATTGGCTACATTTACTCCTAAATCAATATTTTTGAATTAGTAAACTACCAGTTAATATCTAATACATAAGAGAATTAAAAGAATAGTAATACCCACCATGAATGAGATTGTGGTAAAATACACTAGTGCTGGTAGCATATCTTTTATTGGATTGCTTGTATTTTCTGATTGTTAAAAATAAATAGTCTCATAGAAAACTCAAGGCAGAACCTTATAAAGGGAAAAATAAAAATGATCCCAAATCTCTCCGTGGAGAGAAAACCACTGATGACATCTTGGTTTGTCTCTTTTTCAACAGCTCTCTCTGAAGATAAACACATTAAATTGCTACAATAACATTACACATGCTGTTTTGCAACCTGAACATGGAGGCCTCGTGTTCCACTTAACCAATTATGTACACAGTGGTAGACTCTGCTTCTTTGCATTTTGTCACGATAGTAAACAACTCTAAAATGAATGTCCTTAACTATACACTCATACACACTTGATAAAGTACATCCTGGAGGAAATGATTATGAGCAGAATGTCTAGCAAAGATTACATAGACTTTACATTTTGAACCCTATGGGCGGACTACCTCCTAGAAATTTATATTCCCAGTAATTGCTATTCACTATTGTCTCATACCCTTTCCAGTATTTGATATTGTTAGTATATATTTTTTAAAATGTTGACAGTGAGGTAAAAATTTAGGCCTCATTCTTTTAGTACACATTTCTTTGAATATTATTGTAATTCATTATTCACATTCTTTTTGCTATTGGCATTTTACTAGTTGTCAATTACCTACCGATCCCTCTACTAACTTTTCAATAAGGATGCTTGTTTCTTCCTATTTTTTAGAGTAAACTGTTTCTTGGGGATATTCAGTCTTCGTTGGGTGTGCTGAAAATATTTTCCCAGCTTATTGCTTTTTGGTTTTGTTTAAAGTATTTGTTTATTGCCAAATGTAGATTTAAAAAAATTAAGTAGTTACTTAAGTACTTACTGGATTTTATGGCATGCTTAAAAAGACCTGTTCCACCCATATTTAAACAGAGGATAGGAGAGGATATAGGAAAGAGGATATATGGGAAAGCGTTTTGCAATGTCTGAAAATCGGATAAAACAGCACCTCATTTTATACCCTAACCAAATCACAACAGAACAAACAAATAACAGCAAAATAAAAAATTCTGACCATATCTGGTTTAGGAGAACTGAACCAGATAAATTTTGAAGCTTTCTATCTCTGCTGGGATGCCATACAGTCAATATATGGAGAAGTGCTTTCACTGATCCAAAAAATATTTATTAAGTACGGGGTACTGTGCTGGGTTTTGGTTCAGAGAAAAAAAGATAATGATTTGAAAAAAGAAAATAAGATCACTCCTGCCCGCACAGAGTTCACAGACTGCAAGGTACTGTACAAGATTAGCATCCATCCCTCATCCTACTCCCAACACCATGAGAAAACAATTGGTCAATGCAGAAAATCCTGATTTCTTGGTTGGGGGAGGGGGAACCCTTTCTTGTGATTTAAAGAAAACACATTGTCTAGAAGAGCCCAAGCTCCCTTCTTCTGCATCTCTTCACAGCTGCCTCTCTGCAAGGGGACACTGATGCCTTTGAGACACGGACTGGGCTGTAATAATTAAACCTGTAATCATGCTGTACGCCAAGAAAATGTTTTCAAAACATCTGCAGTCTTTAACCAGGCAAGATGTTTTATGAAAAATATTTGTGAAAGCTTCCATCAGGAAGTATTCATTCATTTGAAGTAATGGATGAAAATATTTGAAAATATTTGGTCATCTTAATTAACTGTGTGTGTGTGTTTTGAATGTGTGTATATGAATGGGCCACATACTTGTGTAAAAGAATTTTATATATAACTATTTTTTTTAAAGATTTTATTTATTTGACATACAGAGATCACAAGTAGGCAGAGAGACAGGCAGAGAGAGAGAGGGAAGCAGGCTCCCTGCTGAGGAAAGAGCCTGATGTGGGGCTTGATCCCAGAACTCTGGGATCATGAACTGAGCCGAAGGCAGAGGCTTTAACCCACTGAGCCACCCAGGTGCCCCAATATATGTTTTAAAGTTAAAACACTTCCTGTATTTGATTTTGTAAGGGAGAATGGAAGACATTAAGGATGGAAACTAAGATCTAGTCTAGAATGAGAGAAATGACCATAGCCCCATATATCCCATAGTCCCAACCATATCATCAGGATTTTAAAAATTATTTTTGCCTTTATTATTCAGTCGTCACAAAAAGCTTGGGAAATAAATATCAATACTTTTATTTTACATAGTGAAATAATGTGTCTAAGTGTGATTTGGTGATTGAAGTCCCTAGGTTAGTAAATATCAGAGATGAAAACCAAACCCCAAGTTTATTACTTTTGCCACCACTCTACAGCCGTCCCAGTGTTCAAGGCCTGCTTAAGTTGTAAAAGGAGGAATAGCCAGTTACTTCCCAATTACCCATGCATGAACCTGGTGAGAGCTTAGCCACTCACCACCAGCCCTGCTTGCAGAACCCAAGCACCCTCTTTATTGCGCTTGCCTTGCCCAATGTGGTAAGAGCATCAATGGGCTTCAGAGTCAAATTTAATCTTAGGCTTTAATCCTGGTTCTGCCCTTACTAGCTGTGCACATTTGGACCTGAGCTCTCTGCCTCACCTCTACCCAGGAACACTGGCAGCGACAGCACTTACAAGGAAGACCGTGTGAGCTCTCTGGCATATACGAAGTGCTCAGGAATCACCAGAAGGACATTACTTGGGCTCTCCCGGGATGCCTTCAAGAGACACAAAACCCACTGGGGAATAGGAGGTTTAAAGGGAGTGGGGCCCTGGACATAAAAACAAGAGCCACTAAGAGTTAGTTTTGACTCTGTGCTAACCCACATGCGAAGAACTGCTACGGGGCCACAGTTAATTCCTGTTTTATCGCGGATCCTCCTACTGCCTTATGTCTCACGAAGGATTCTATTACGAAAGAAATGGGGAGCCTTGAAAAAAGGAGAGAAATGTAGGGATGGCATTGCTGAACCTTTTTACAATGCTCAAAAATGGATTTTCCTAATCCCCACCCCTTTTTTTTTCCATCCTCTATAGCCGATGGCGTGTGTGTCTTCAAATGCTTACTCAACAGAGACACTGAATGTTGCCGCGTGGGGAAGGAATCCGTCTTGATTACACTGGGATACAACAGCATTTTGCTGAAGTTTGAGTCTCCCGCTGGTAAGTTTGGGGCCTGTCCTGACCCCTTCCTTGCCTTTTCTGAGGACAAGTCTCTGGACTGGTTAGCTTTGCTGTTACTGGCCGGTTGGCTTTTGGCAGTGTGTTTCCTGTTGTGACCTGTCATGGACTGAGGGAAGGATTTGAAACTAGTGCTGGCACTTACTTGATCCCATGGTTGGGGATTAACCAGCCTTTTCCTAGACTATGAGGATGTTTTTATTCTTAACCACCCCCTCCCCCTTTGGTCCTCCTTGCTCCAGAGCTGCAGGAGAGGATGGCCACCAAGGATGGTCCCGGTCTTCCATCACTCTTGTTGCTTCTCCTTGACGACAAGGCTGTTCGCAGAAATGTGACTTTTCAATTTGAGTGACATTCAGAATGATTCCGTCTTGTTTTTTTACCTTTGAATCATTGGTTGTTCATTTTTAGACTCTAGATAACGAATACCAAACAAGCAGGGAGGTAAACTGAAGTAAAATTAAGTATTTTAAGAAAGGAAGAAAAGACACTCTGGAAGAGGTCAGCTCTGATAAAGAAATTAAGGCTAGCAGTGCCTTGGGTCTGCGTTAGATGTTTGATGGTCTTTTCTTTGACTTGATATAAATTGATTCTTTGTACTTACGGTGTTAATCCAGGCAACGTAAAGTATTAGCAGTGGTACGTGTTCTCCTCAGGTTAGCTGAAGTACCCTAAGCTGTTTCATTATCAGTAACTACTTGGGATAAAGAAATTAACCTGGTTTCTTATTTTGAAATTCCACTCACATGGGCATCAGCTAGCGTGAGGAATTTGCTCAACACGTGTCTGTCCATTTGTCCATCTTATGTTTATGCTGCATTTTGGAATAAATTATAGTAACCAACACATTCTAACACCATGTACTTCCAGCTGCATATCATTAACTAGAATTCAAAATTTGTTTCTAATTTTTTTCTATGAAAGTGAAATTTACATACCTCACAATGCACAAATCTCAAAACACCATCATTCCTAAGAGTTGCCTCATAGCCTTTCCCCATCACTCCTTACACCTGTCCTTGCAGGGGCAATCACTGCTCTGATTTTCTTCTAAACAAGATTAGATTTTATTTGGATTTGACTAGAACTTCCTATAAATTGGATCATTCAGTGTACACTCTCTTTAGTAAGGTCACTGAGCATATTTTGAGACATCCATGTTGTTGCTAGTGTGAGTAGTTTGTTCACTTTTATTACTAGGTAATAGTCACAATTCGTATATCCATTCTCGTTTCGGTGAATATGGAGACTATCTCCAGGTCTTGGCTATCGTGAGTAAGGTTGCTATAAATATTCTCATACCAGTCATTTTGCGGACATATATTTTTTTCATTTCTTTTAGATCAATACCAGAAGGTAAAATTGCTGGGTCATAGAATAAAATACATGCTTAGTTCTCTAAAACACAGCCAGAACCTCTTCTTTTTTTTTTTATTTTTTAAATTTATTTTCAGCGTAACAGTATTCATTGTTTTTGCACCACACCCAGTGCTCCATGCAGTCCGTGCCCTCTCCAATACCCACCACCTGGTTCCCCCAACCTCCCACCCCCCGCCCCTTCAAAACCCTCAGGTTGTTTTTCAGAGTCCATAGTCTCTCATGGTTCACCTCCCCTTCCAATTTCCCTCAACTCCCTTCTCTTCTCCATCTCCCCATGTCCTCCATGCTATTTGTTATGCTCCACAAATAAGTGAAACCATATGATAATTGATTCTCTGCTTGACTTATTTCACTCAGCATAATCTCCTCCAGTCCCGTCCATGTTGCTACAAAAGTTGGGTATTCATCCTTTCTGATGGAGGCATCATACTCCATAGTGTACATGGACCACATCTTCCTTATCCATTCATCCGTTGAAGGGCATCTTGGTTCTTTCCACACTTTGGCAACCGTGGCCATTGCTGCTATAAACATTGGGGTACAGATGGCCCTTCTTTTCACTACATCTGTATCTTTGGGGTAAATACCCAGTAGTGCAATTGCAGGGTCATAGGGAAGCTCTATTTTTAATTTCTTGAGGAATCTCCACACTGTTCTCCAAAGAGGCTGCACCAACTTGCATTCCCAACAGCAGTGTAAGAGGGTTCCCCTTTCTCCACATCCCCTCCAACACATGTTGTTTCCTATCTTGCTAATTTTGGCCATTCTAACTGGTGTAAGGTGGTATCTCGATGTGGTTTTAATTTGAATCTCCCTGATGGCTAGTGATGATGAACATTTTTTCACGTGTCTGATAGCCATTTGTATGTCTTCATTGGAGAAGTGTCTGTTCATATCTTCTGCCCAATTTTTTAATATGATTATCTGTTTTGTGTGTGTTGAGTTCGAGGAGTTCTTTATAGATCCTGGATATCAACCTTTTGTCTGTACTGTCATTTGCAAATATCTTCTCCCATTCTATGGGTTGCCTCTTTGTTTTGTTGACTGTTTCCTTTGCTGTGCAGAAGCTTTTGATTTTGATGAAGTCCCAAAAGTTCATTTTCGCTTTTGTTTCCTTTGCCTTTGGAGACATATCTTGAAAGAAGTTGCTGTGGCTGATGTCAAAGAGGTTATTGCCTATATTCTCCTCTAGGATTCTGATGGATTCCTGTCTCACGTTGAGGTCTCTTATCCATTTTGAGTTTATCTTTGTGTACAGTGTAAGAGAATGGTCGAGTTTCATTCTTCTACATATAGCTGCCCAGTTTTCCCAGCACCATTTATTGAAGAGACTCTTTTTTTCACTATATATTTTTTCCTGTTTTGTTGAAGATTATTTGACCATAGAGTTGAGGGTCCATATCTGGGCTCTCTACTCTGTTCCACTGGTCTATGTGTCTGTTTTTATGCCAGTACCATGCTGTCTTGGTGATCATAGCTTTGTAGTAAAGCTTGAAATCAGGTAACGTGATGCCCCCAGTTTTATTTTTGTTTTTCAACATTTCCTTAGCGATTTGGGGTCTCTTCTGATTCCATACAAATTTTTGGATTATTTGCTCCAGCTCTTTGAAGAATACCGGTGGAATTTTGATCAGAATGGCATTAAAAGTATAGATTGCTCTAGGCAGTATAGACATTTTAACAATGTTTATTCTTCCAATCCAAGAGCATGGAATGGTCTTCCATCTTTTTGTGTCTTCTTCAATTTCTTTCATGAGTGTTCTGTAGTTCCTCGAGTACAGATCCTTTACCTCTTTGGTTAGGTTTATTCCCAGGTATCTTATGGTTCTAAAGCGGTTGGACCATCGTATACTCCCACCAATAATGGATGGGAGTTGTTCCACATCTTTGCCAGTATTTGGTGTTTCAGTCTATTAAATTTGTTTTCCATTTTGTAAAAATTAATTAATTAACTAACTAACTAATTAAATAAAACTTTCTCCATTTTGGTAGACATGTGGTTGAATCTCACTGTGGTTTTAATTTACATTTTCCTGATGTGTAGTGATATTAAGCACTTTTTCATGCGCTTATGAATTCAAATCATTTACTTGTTACTAAGTGGTTATTTGTCTATGGAGTTACTGTTCTTCGTGTATGTGGGACACTGGGCACATGTCAGACACACAGTTCACGCACATTATCTCCTAGCTTGGAACATGCTTACTCATTTAGATAGTGATGTCTTATGTTGAAAAGAAGTTTTCAAATTTGGTGATGCCATTTTTTTCCTTATTGATTTCAGTATCCCAAGAACTTTTCCTACCCTCAAATAGTGAATGATTTCGACTGTATTTCCTTCTAGAAGTTTTAAAGTTTAATTTTTGCATTTTATTATTTTTTGTGTGTTTATTATTATTTTCTAATCTCTCTTAATTACTTCTTATATGGTGTGAGGTATGGGGCCAAGGATTACTTTTAGACCATACGGATATCCATTTATTCTAACACTGTGTATTGAAAAGGTATTTGCAAGTCAAGTGACTGTATGCAGACTTGGTCTATTCTAGAGTTCTCTGTTCTGCTCCACGTACTTCTTATTATCCTTAGGCCAGTATCCCATTGTCAGGGTTACCTTCAAAGTAACTCTTGAAGTCTGATGGTTCAAGTCCTCTAACTTTGTTTCTTTGTCAAGATTGTTCTGGATATCCTTGCTCCTTTACATTCCCATATACATTTTATAATTAAGCTGTCAATTAATGTACAGTACTTGCTCCAATGAAGACTGAGATTGATCAGTTTGGGGAGGATTGTCATTTTCCCAACATTAAGTCTTTTGGTCATTGGCAAGATGAAAATAGCTCATACTAAGTCACAAGAGACAGTTATTAAATTTTCAGAAATTTGATAGCTTGACATTGGCCAGGGTGGAAGAAATTAGCAAAGTCCCCTGTTGTTTTGTGGGGCGGGAGTTCATTGTTAAATGATTACCAGCATGCCATTACTTTCAGACCAGGAATATGGTATTTCTCTCCATTTATTTAGGGCTTTAATTTTTCCCCAGAAGGGGAATATTTTGTAGTTTTCAGCAATGAGGTCATACACAACTGTGACAAATTTATCCCTGAATATTTTATGTTTTTGACTGTATTGTAAATAAAATTTTGAAAACTCACAAGTGTTTTCTGGTGGTATATAATAAATATATTATTATTAAAAAATTTCCAGTGTGAATAATATACAGTGTTACATTAGTACAATATAGTGATGCAACAATTCTCTGCATTATTCAGTGCTCATCGTAAGTGTGCTCTTAGTCCCCTTTCCCTATTTCACCCCACCAGCCTCCATTCTGGTAAAACTGTTTGTTCTCTATAGTTAAGAGTCTGTTTTTTGGTTCATGTCTTTCTTCCTTTGTTCATGTGTTCTGTTAAATTTCACAAATGAGTGAAATCGTATGGTATTTGTTTTGCCTTACTTACTGACTTATTTCACTTAGCATTATACCCTCTAGATGCATCCATGTTGTTGCAAATGGCAAGATTTCATTCTTTTTGTGGCTAATATTCTATTACATGTATATGCGTGTGTGTGTGTGTATATATATATATATATATATATAT